TATCTGACCACCTCCCCTCCCCATGAGATGGGCTGTCCTCTAGGGAGCACTCTCTCTCTCAGCACCTGGATTCTGCAGGCCTCTGGTGTGGGAGAAACTCTCAGGTGAGTGGTGTGGTGATGTCCCAGGCCTTCTCTCAAGCTAGATGACCATCTCTTTGGAGGCAGGGCAGGGCTTCCTTACTACCTCACAGAATCTCGCAGGTGCTGGGCGCCTTTAAAGTCCTCAAGACAATGTTGAAAGTAGAATGAGAGCCTCTTGGACTAGGAACGACTTTAAATGGGACTGGCCAGTCCACCCCCATCCAGATTCTGAATTCCTTCTGCAGCAGCCTTAGCAAGTGGCCACTCAGGACCTCCAGGTGTCATCCTGTGTCTTTGGCTGACTCCATGTTGAGGCTGACTCTGAGGCTGACTCCATGTTGCCCTGTACACTTTTAAGTGTTTGGTAACTGGTTGTTTTATCTTCCTATGTGATCCATGAGCCATAGGAATGAGAATCAATTCTTACTGATTTTCCTTTGCTGCTAGAAAGATGGGCAGGTGTTTGAACCTGTAAGTCACTGCAATGAAACTCTTCATTAGAACATGAAGGAATCCAGGCAGTCCTGAACTCAGTGTGATTGGAATGCCGCGGCCATGGCCCTTTGAGGCTCTGTCAGCACCGAGCTGGGCAGTGGTGCTGCACGTGTGCAGCTGTGCCCACCTGCTCATTCGCCACCCATGCTCTTGCCACCTCCTGACCTGTCACTGTCCTCTGTTCTGCCCCTTCTCAGTGAATGTGGGCTGGGAATCTCAATAGTCAGTCTGGTTCGAATGCACCTACAATGAGTGCAAATGGCACCAACATTGGATTTTTTAAGAGCTTTGAGATGAGCAGTGTGTGTGGACTTGGAGGAATGAATATCTGGCTTCACTGTGGCTTTTTCAAGGCTTTGGTGGGTTTTGACAGCATTCCAGATACTTGAGGTCATCAAATCAAGTGATTTCTGGATAGCTGAGCATGTGTAGAATTCTTTTATGGCCTTTTATTACTTTCAAGTCTATGCAGTAAAGCTAATAAGGTATTTCTGATGAGGAGTCCTGCTGGACATATTTTGATGATTAGTTAGGACATGTTTGCAATTAGTACCAGGCATTTTCCTAAAATTATTATTCTAGTGTCTTCTTATGTTTTTCTAAAGTAGTTTATCTAATACGTTTGTTATTAATTTTAAAAAGGAAGCCTCCCAAATGTACATAAACATAAATTTAGACTCAGTAGGAGCCAAGTTCATAGAAAACTAAAATAATGAATCAGAAGAGTTGGGGGATATTTTTTTTAAATAAAATTGCAGTGTGGAAAGTGGTCTAAACAGATTTTTAAATCAGAGAGGAAAAAGATATGAATAGGAATGTTGAGAGCAATAGAAAAATAAGAGTTTGCTAGAAAAGAGTGGTTTCTTAATTAGAGAACCACGCAAGGGTGGGTGGTTAAGGGCTCTGGGTTCATGGGACCATGTTGGCTGAGATTCGATGACCACAGAGATGCTCAGAAGGAAGCTTGATGTTTGGGCAGAAGGGGTCCTGCTGAGACCAGCTCATGGGGGGAGGGGTTGGACAGCAGCCAGGTTCTTTCCCAAGAAGGCATTTAGCAGATTCAAACCACATAATGATAGTCCTCCCACTGAGGAAGTCACCAAGCCTGGACTTGCTGGGTTGTTTTATTTACTTGAAGAAATTTCTTCAGCTCTCAACACACAAAGATAGCACAGTTCATTATGCCATACTTCCCCCTTCTGCCCTCAACCTTGTAGTTGTTGAGAAAAATACTCTGGAATTTAGTCTATTCCTAGTCAGTGAGCAGAGGACCAAATATGGGACTTGAGTGATGAAGGTGAAAAGCTTCTATCTTTAAACTGGTGGTCAAAGCTCTCTTGAGACTCATCACCCTGTGTGGTTAGGGCATGACCCTATGAGTGGCAGCCCAGGGCACCGCTTGTCCTCTGTACAGTTGTGAAGGGCCCCGGCTGTGCTGAGGAGGGCGACCGAGTGGAACATGGAAGCTGGACTCAGGGTGACTCGCTCCACACAATACAGTGGGGATGGATTTGAAGAGCCAGCCTCAGTGGGGGCACATGCCAGCCTGCCCCTCACATGCAATTCTGTGTGAGAATCTCCAGAGACTGCCTCTGCCACCAACTAGCTTACCTTCTGGTCAGTGCTTCAGAGGAACAGTGTACGTAGCAATTCCAGGATAAAGGATGTGAAGAAAATAAGAGAGTGATATTAGTGACCAGGGGCTCCTTTAGATGAAGCTGTCAGAAAGGCATTTCCCAGGAGGGGATGTTTTTTCTTAGACCACAAGCATAAGAAAAGGCAGGTCCCATGATGTCTGGTTAGGGAATAGCTAATGGGAAGACTCTAGATCACAAATAAGCTCTGCTATGTTAAAAACACATGGCCATGTGACTATTGAGGAGTAGCAGAGACCACTGGGTGGAAAGGGAATTGACAGGAGAGGTGGGTAGGGTGCTTGGCAGAGGCTGAGACACGGAGCCTGCAGGGGTGGGTTTCATCCCGCAGGACTGGGGAGTGTTTGGAGGACTGAGTGCACAGGTGCCCTCTGGCAGCAAGTTGGAGAATGGATTTTAGGGGGACAGACGTACTTAGGAGGCTTTTATGGTGCCCAGGATGAAAGTGGTAAGTGGATAGATTTAGGACCTCTCTTAAAGGAAGCGATCAAATTGGCAACTATGTTGATTGTGGGGAGGGGGTCAGGGAGGGAGGGTGCAGGCACCACTTGTGGATGGTGGAGTCTGGTACTTAGAGGGGACTGTGGCATGGACAAGTTGAAAGTGGGTAGTAGGAGGGAGGGAGTCTGAGTGAAAACCTGGAATTCTCTTTTGGCCACATTGAGTTGAGGGTGCCTATTAGTATCTTGAGTGAAGATGAGATGTCAGGGCTCAGGTTGTTGTGTAAACACCTGGCCCAGGATTTTGGTCAGGTCTGGAGAGCAACAGTTAGCATTGAGTCATAAATGGAATTTGAAGCCAAGAGACAGAGTGTGTGTGGAAAGAGAAGGAATAAGAGCCTGGGAGTGAACTCTGAAGGTCTTCCCACACCCAGAATGTGAACACCGTAGAAGAAAGGAGCAAAAGAATGGCCACTGAGGTAGCAGGCAGGTCTGACATGGTGAGCTAGAATAATTTCTGCCAAGAGCAACTGATTGTGTCAACTGCTATTGAGAGTTGAGCTAAAATGATCCAGAAAAGTAACTGTTGGATTTAACAATGTGGAGGCCATTGGATACCTGACAGGAGTGATTTCATTTGTGTAATGGCTGAAGAACCAATGGGAAGTGAGTAAATAGAGCCAGGGATTGTAGCAACTCATTTAAGTTCTCCTATTAAGGGGAGCTCAGGACACTGGCAGAGAAATGTGGAATCAAGAAAATGACAGATGGTTTACTAGTAAAGCAGGGCAAGGAAAGGCAAAAAAGGGTTGCAGTGTTTGCATGATTTTGGAGAAATGATGTGGTGTGGTGGCATTTAAGTTGTTCTTTTTGGAGTGAAGTCTATGCGAGTTGTGGATATTCTGCTGTGAGCAGTTGCCTCCAGGAGGCCCTGGTCTCCCTTGGACTGCATAGCAAACAAAGAACCTGTAACTGAGGCTTCAGAACCATGATGGTGGGTCATAGGTGCACAAGGAAGCAGCCGGCCTGGATTGGAAGAGAGACATTTGACTCGAGTACTCCACATAGCAGTCTCGATGGCCTGCCACATGCCATTCCAGGTCCTGCAGACACATTGCAAATCAGCTCGCTCTCCCCTTGAAATTGCCTCCTGCACATTATTGGGTTGGGATGTGCTGGTTGAACACCCAAAGGCAGGCTTGCTCTTTGTTGGAAGCAATATTTGAATACCTTTTCAGGAGGTAGTTGGTGTGTGAGTTCCTTGAGGAGGAGTTTCTTGGAAAGAAGTGGTGTCCAGGGGAGGGAGACTATGGATGAAGTGTCATTGCAGCAGCCTGGTGGGGAAGGGCAGGAGCTGGACGTCCCAGGTTGCAGCAGCCTCAGGACTGGCTGAACTTGAGTGGGGAGGTTTAGGAATTTCTTGGTGCGGGTAACCTATGACCTGTGTCAAGCAGGCCCCTAGACTGTGTGGCTCCTCACAAAGGCTGTGCCTGGACCCAGTACCTCCAGGTTTTGGGCTCCAGGCTGCCCTCTCTGCTCAGTTTTAAGACCAAGCCTTGGTTGAGATTCCTGCTTACCTAGACCAGCTGTTGTGAACTTGGGCAAATCATTTAACTTGCTCTTCCTGCTTCTTTGCTAGAAGCGAGGATTATGATCATCCCTCCCTTACCACATTGTAGTCTGGATAACATGCAGCTGACTGGGTGAATGCTACTTTACTTGTTGAGCAGCCACCAGTGTGAAAGCTCTAGGGCAAAAGCTCCTGGGTCCAAAAGAAACCTGCTTCTAGTTCCAGCTGTGTGATCCTGGGCTACTCTGTGCCTTAGTTTCCCGATCTGTGCAATGGGGATAGTACTAAAATCTGCCTCCTGAGGCACCCTAGGAGGGAATCTGTGTGGTGGCTGAAAAGAGTGACCAGGCAAAGCCAGAGCTGGTGTCAGCTGCTGTGAGGACGACGCCCTTGTGTCTGCAGCTACGTGATGATTTTCTTTTCTTCATTTTTTAAATTTAAATTTTATTTTTATATTCCCCATACAATTGCAACCCCCTTATTTTGACCCCAATCCCTCCTTTCCCCGCCCCCCACCCCCCAGAGTGTGTCTCTGGTTCATAGTTGTTTGTTGATTTTGATATTTTCTTTCTTATAGTTTTTCTTTTTCCTGATCCCTTATTTAAGTTTTCTAGATTCCTGCTATGAGTGAGACCATCCGGTATTTTTCTTTTTCTTTCTGGCTTATTTTGCTGAGCATGATCCCTTCCAGCTCCATCCATATTGCTGCAAATTGCATGTGTTTATCTTTTTTAATGATTTTCTCTACTCTCCACAGTTCCGCCTGGTGGTGAAGACAGCCCTGAAGCTGCTGCTTGTGTTTGTGGAGTACTCAGAGTCAAATGCCCCTCTCCTAATTCAGGCTGTGTCTGCTGTTGACACAAAAAGAGGTGAGTGGTCCCCTCTCTTTGTTCCATTAAGGTAAAGAAATCTAGAGTAGGAAGGCTTCCACTTTTTATGGGTTCAAGCAGAATTAAGAGCTCTTGCGTAGACTTTCCACTGCAGAAAGCATTTTTTAGGATAGTAAGTCTGTGAAAATTAGGACTGGACCATGGTTTGACAGTGAAAAAGGCCCCCCAGGACAGTTAGACCCTGGGCTTAACTTCATGCTGTGTCTCGTCCCTACACACAGAGAACCGGATCTTTTCCCCACTGTAGTCAGTGTGCCTTCCCCCCTCCCTCACACATGCTTTGTTTGCTTGGACCATCAGATGGTCCTTGAACCGCCTCCCTCCCTCCCTCCATCCCATGCCCCTGCATTATGGGGGGGGGCCCTCACCATCCTTCACCTGGGATCCCTTGCTTCCTGGATTACATGCGACTGACTGGTAAATGCTACTTTACTTGTTGAGCAACCACCAGTGTGAGAGCTCTAGAGCAAAAGGTCCTGGGTCCAAAAGAAACCTGCTTCCTGGTCCTTCTAGAGGATTCCTCAAAACATGAGAGTGGTCACATCATTCCTAATCTAAACCCTGCCAATGACTTCCCAATGTCCTCTGAATTAGGATCAAGCTCTTTTTTTATTTTAATAATTTTATTTATTTTTTAATATATTTTTACATCATTCTTCATTTTTTTAAAAACAATGTATGCTTTCCCATCTCAGTTATAGTTCCCATGAAATTCCCACCACCAATTAACCCGTGTACCATCACCATAGTCCCTTATGCTCTTCCCACCCCTGACCCATTGCTGTCCACTCCTATCACCCCCATCTTCTACCTGGCCTGTATCTTGCCCTTCCTACCTGTAGCAGCAGGAATCGGCACAGTGCAGGTTTTCTATGATTCTGTGCAGACAGGTGAAGGAGGAATCCTGGAGCCCTCAGAGGCTTTTCAGGCTTTTATTGGGATTTTACTGGGTACACAGCAGGCAGGGGTGCTGGGGGGCCGGGAGCCTGGCAGGCCTCCCAGCCCCTAGCAAGTCTTCACTCTTACTGGGCTTTCCGGCGTTTTGTGGTGGTCTTGTTCTCTGCTGCTCTCGTGGGTCTTCTGGCGTCCCCATGACGCTGCCTTATAAGCCCAGTCTCTCAGTCCAGGTGAATCCCATCTACACATGCCCACACCCTACTCCAGGTGTCCACCATCAGTCAGGTATTCAGGACCACAAGGATCCATCATCAGTCCTGATGGCGGGAGGGCAGAAAAACCTGATACTTTTTATTAACCCTGTCCTACCTTGACTCAGATGGTGGTAATGTGCTCTCAATGCCTTAGACCCATCTTCTATGCAGTTTGTCATTGCCTGTCTCTTGGGAGTGGATGCCCTGATTAAGGGCTGGGGTCCCTTTGTGTCTTTGCACCTAACTGACCCCAAGTGGGCAGACCTGCGACATATACTTGACGAAGACTGAGCTTTGGATTTGACTTTGGATTTGACTTCATGAGTAATAATGAAGTGAAACCTAGTTAAAATACTAGATTTTGTCTTGTTTTGTCTTTTCAAAAACTTAGTTTTTTTCCACAGTTAGTCATTTTTATCATTGTTATTGTTTCCCCCCAAGACTCAAAGAACAAAAACTTGATAAAATTTATTTTCATGATTATAATAGTAATACTGTAGAAATTTTTTGGGGGAAATAGTATAAAGAAGACAATTTAAAAATCATCTCTAGGGGGAGAGCAAAGCATGGAAGGGGTACAATAGATTCTGGTGGGGTCTATGGGTGCCTTGGTGGTGGGTGTGGTAACATACATCTGAAGTGTATGTCCCTATACCTACAATATTGTAACCCAACGTTACCTGAATGAAAACAAGCAACTCTAATCTCACTAGTCAGAGATAATTGTTAACATGTCTGTATATTTTCTTACAGTTTTCTCTGTGTGTCTGTGCACACACTTATGCACAAATCGGCCAAGATAACACTTACAAAAGGAAATGAGGGGACTAAACAGAATGCTTTGACTCAAACCATGTGCCTCTGACTTAGTGTTGTTCAGAGACCCACCTTCCAGCACTGAATCCAAAGGGCAAAGAAAGTAGCTTAGCTAGTTACTTTGAAAGTTCAATGTAAATTAATGAAAATCATCCAGGACCATACTTTCGGGACTTTCTCATGAATGCTCAGACGGATGGCAGCCTCAGGCATGGTGGATCACAGACCGGAGGCAACTCCAGGTCTGTGTGCAGGTGTGCGTGATAAAAACAAATCCTCGTGCATGATCAGGGGCTGTGAGTGTGGAAGATAGATCCAGATGGGTTCAGGTTTCTTTCTACCACAACATACTGCCATTTGAAGCTTGAGCACAAAAGCTCTTATGGTCAAAAGCAAATTATGGCACCAGCTGAGAATCCTTAATGGACCCTGCCCAAGATTCACAAACTAGGCTGAATTTCTCAAGGTCAATTAATGAGGTTTAAGGCCTAAAGTTGGAGGTTGGCAAGAGAACAAGACCTATCCTTTCACATATCTTTGTGGGAATCAGTCCATCTCTCAACTCCAGGGGTTACTTCATTAAGAGAATTAATGGACTCTGCTTTCTTGTCCTAAATTGCAGGTAACCCCTGGACCCTTGGGGTGGTGGTTCAAGGGGGTGAGTGGTATTCGAGGGAACAGACCTCTCGTGACCTTGGGGTTCTCCTTTAGTTTCATGGAGCTGGGAGTTCACAATTTCCTTCCTTGGACTTCACATTTCATGAAGGGTGTGTTGTAGGGGTGGAGGAGTGATCCTGAGGGGTGCCTCAGCCTTGACACCCCATATTCTAGACTCCATCTATAGACTCAGCTGGAGACTCTGCTGTACTCAGTCTCTCCCTCAAAACAAAACAATGGCCATCTTTTCCCAATTTGTAAAAATTTAAAAAAAAAATACAGCTAATGGATTATTTTCTCAACTTCAGTGTTTTTGACCATAAAATTTCTTAAGCTTTTGGCAACTACTGTCAGCTCTCTATTACTGAGCCCTACAAGCTGGGGAAAAAAAGGAATAGCATTAATGGAAAAATCCAGACATAGCTTATCACATCTGCTTCAATAGCATGTTTCTCCATGGACATGTGTGGTCTTGGCCGTGATTTTATAATGCATACACATAACATCATCCTATTTTACTGCTAGTAAAATTGTTCTTGAACCCTGTGATGGAATTAAACATATAAATATGTCATGGTGTTCTGCAGAGAGCAGCCCAACTTCCAGGTGTGTTTCCTCCAGCCGGCATAGAGGTAGCTCTCCAGTTCCCTCTTAGCGGGTAAAGGAGTAGACAGAGGCTCCAGAAGTGACCAAGGGCTGCCCAAGCATGTCCATTTGTGCACAAGTGTATAAATAAGTCATAAATTTTACTCCTCAGAGTGCCTTTAGACTCATTCCTCTGGGGAATACGGTGGAGAATGGAAATATCACAGGGCTGATTTTGAATACAAAGGAATTCTTTTAGCTGATGAAAACCATCCAATTTAAAGAATCCGCAAAGAAAACCAACAAATGAGCTATGAGTCCTCAAAAATTATGACCGCCTACAGCAAATGACGGTGACCCAGAACAAATGACTTGGGTTGCTTTGTAAACACATGTGCTGTGTGTAGGTCAACCAGATTCCTCTGGGCACATGGGTGATTCTCTCTTTGGCCAAGCGTGGGTCACTGTGGGAACAGGGATAAAGATGGAGGGATCTAAGTTCAACGTTCACCTTAGAGGCTGATAATTGCTTATGGATGAGTTAAAATAAATGCCCCATTTGATCCAGGCAACTGTCACTTCTGCCCAGGGGCTGAAATGATAAAGAGAGGTTGCGCGAGTCCCTGGGGCTGGCCCAGTGCACTGCTGTCTGTGCAGACGGCTGGACCATTATCTCTTCTGCTTGCATCTTCAGATTACTTCCTACCGGGCAGGGAGAGAGGAAGGTGGTGAGCATTTGCAGAAGCAAAGGGAGGACTTTGCTTTGTCATTTTGCCACCATCAAAGACTTCCTTTCCTTGAGGTCTTCCCTGTGTTAGTTGACAGGAAACTGGTTGCCAACCCTTTGCTCCTTGGACACGGTGTCTGACTGCGTGGGTCTATCTTTCAGACACAGGGTGGGGCAAGTGGTCAGACTTGGGTAACCTATTTTGAAATTTCAGTCATAAATCTTGAATCCCACTAATTTAGTTCAGCACTTCTTTTGAAGAAGTTCCACTTTTCATTTGAATGTGAAGTGATGAGATATGACATAATTCTCAAACATATGTATCACACATGATTAACCAGAGAATAAATCTAGCCATTCTTTAGGCAATCCTGCCCCTGACTTCTACTCAAGAACACATTGATCTGTAAGTAATGCACAAAGCATGGTGGGAGTTAGAGGCTGACAGAACACAAGCTTCATGTCCATGATCATTTATAACAGAAGTATATGTGTTAAGTGTATCTATCAATCCTGTTGAAGGGCATGGAAGATACTGACAGGACCTTCTGTTTGAGTGTTAGACTACACTAGTATACAAGTCATTGTGCTGTCTTAGTTTTTTTCGAGTTTAATGCAGAGCGGAGGAAAGTAAGAAGGAGAAAGTTCTGAGCAATTTATTTTGTGCTGTTGATTCTGGGTTAATACTACGGTTTGGTGGGAGCTAGAAAAGAAGGTCTGTGCATAAGAGTGGGTGTCATCACCACTAACCATTACCATAACTATCACAATGACTTATATTCCAGTGCCGTTCATATAATGGATGCCATGTTAAGCATTTTTCATATAAAGCTAATTTTTCTGACAGTTATTTAAGCACCAACTAGGTGCTTGCAAAATTCAGAGTTAAAAAAAAAAATAGAATCTTGCGAAATCTCTACTCCACTGCTTGGAGATGGGTGAGGGTGGACATGTAGATAAACAGATGACAGTGATTAAATAACTAAGTTATGGTTTGAGATCTTCATAGAAAAGACAAGAAAAAGCTTTATGTTTTATACCACCCTGCAAAGTTTAAGGGAATACTTGCAAATACTTAAAATATTTTTCTCAGGCACAGGAAATTGTGTCAGTGTGTCATAGCATCTCTGTAGCCTTGGTTTGGCGGTCCTGAATATGAAGGGCTTTCCTGCCATCTCCTGGAGCCAGGGGAAAACCACCTATGAGCCTTCACCTGCAGAACCCCATTTTGTCACCACTATTTGCCAGCAAGCTCTCTGTGGCTATCAGTCCTCATTGAGGGACAGGCTTAGCTGCGAGCTTTGGCCTTGTCAGAGCCCTTTACTTGTGTAATCTGTGTTCTTGTGCTTATGCCTAACTTACCCAATAGATTATGAATTTCATGAGGACAGCCATCTCTTAAACAGCATATATGCTTTAATTGAATAGAGGTAATACACTTCCTGAAATGTTTGCTAGATGGACCTTTCTCTGTTATTTCTCAGAGTTGACTGCTGGAGCAAGTGTCAAGATCTCTTGCAGCCCCTTTCCTTGCAGGAAATCAGAGCACAGCATGCTCATGGCACGCTCAGGGAGTGAAATGCATGCCCTCAAAAGCTGCAAATGAATGATTTTTTTTTTAAAGATTTATTTATTATTTATTTATTTATTTTTTTATACAAGCACTGTGTACAGTCAGAAGTGCGGGAGGGTGAGAGAATTCACCAGAGCCAGAGCGGGGAGCAGAGCAGACTGAAGGACCAAAGTACACTGCTGAGGGGAGCAGGAGGCGGCAGGAGAGGTCTGCTTGCCATGTGGGACCCTCCTCCAGTGGCCGGGGAGCAGCCAGGGATCGAACCGGTGCTGCAGAGGCTGCGGGCAGCTTCGCAACCCAGTGCTCAAATGGTGCGCCACTGGGGAGGCCCGATGCAAATGAATGATTTTTAAAAACTACTTGTTGGGCCTCCCCGGTGGCGCAGCAGTTGAGCGCTGGATTGCGAAGCTGCCCACAGCCTCTGCTGCACCAGTTCGATCCCCGGCCACTGGGCAAGGGTCCCACATGGCGCACAGACCTCTCCTGCCGCCCGCTGCTCCCCTCAGCAGTGTACTTCATCAGTCTGCCTGTTCTGTTCTCTGCTCTGGCTCTGGTGAATTCTCTTAACCTCCCGCACTTCTGACTGTACCCAGTGCTTGTATAAATAAAAAAAATAAATAAAAATTACATGTTGTAAATGAAGGTGGCTTTTTCAAGGAAATATAGAGGCATGAAGAGTATATATTTTCAAGTAGACAAGGATGACACATATTTTTTCCTAATTATAAGCATTTTCAACTCCACCCTAAGGATAGTGTTACATTTTGGAATTTGGTGACTGAAAGCATTGCCATCATTGGGTGACAAGCCTTCAGATAAACTGTGATGTGGGCTGGATGAGGAATGGTGGATTGCTGTTTCTAATGATTTTTGCTTTGCTGATAGGAGTCAAGCCCTGGTCAAATATCATGGAAATCCTGGAGGAAAAAGATGGGGTTGACACGGAGCTGCTGGTTTATGCAATGACTTTAGTGAATAAGGTTGGTTGATGTTTATTATGGGTTGAATTGTGTCCCCCACCCACCTCACCCCAAAGTTATGCGCCTATAATCTCTGGTACCTGTGAATGTGACCTTATTTGAAAACAGGGTCATTAAGTTGTAACCAGGTTAAGATGTGTGGGTTCTGATCCAATAGAACTGGTGTCCCTATGAAAATAGAACAGGAGACACACATTGAGAGAAGATAGTTGTACACGTGTGTACAAGGAAGGCGACCATAAGATGTTGGGGGGATTGGAGTGATGTATCCATAAGCCAGCAGTCAATCTGGGCTGAGGCCAGGAAGAGCCTTCAGAGAGCACGTGGCACTGATGAAAACTTGATATCAGACTTCTCATCTCTCAAACTCAGAAAGAATAAATTTCTATATTTTAAGCCACCCATCTTGAGGTACTTTGTTAGGGCAAACTTAGGGAACTAATATGATGTGCAAATCTGGATTCTGCCCTCTGGCTGAGAGTTACATCACACCGACCCCAGCACGGCAGCCCACACCAAGGCGGCAGCGTGCGCCTCACAGGAGCCCTCACCCCCTCACTGGCGCACGCACGCTGCCGTGCCACATGTGGGGCCGTGGGCATCTGCAGGCTTGCTGCGCTTTGGTCTTTTTATAAATAAAACCAGAAACATGACAGGGTTTCATGGTTGCTTTTTCCATCAAGATGGCCACTTAAAACATTTTTTCCTTGAAAATATCAATTAGCAAGTTTTAGTCTAAGGGAATATTCACAAGTCAGGGAAAAATGAAGGTACTCTTCTTGAATTCTGACTGCTCAGGGGCAAAAGGAGGATTCCGGGGGTCTCTACACATCATGTTGGCTGTGCCCTGTGTCCCCATTCCTCCCATCACATCTCTCCCGGGTCACCTCCATGTAGACAGTAGCAGTCTTCAGAGTCCATGTCCAGCAGGGGTCCTCTGATGACGGACCCAGTGCTGACCCTGGACAACCCACTCTCAGGACTGCAGCCTCACCCTCCTCAGTAGCTAAGATTGGGGTGGATGGGTATCTCCTACAGCAGCCCCCAGGCACCACATCAGTCACTGCCGGGGCCAGCTTTTGTGTTCTGCAGGCTATTTAACTGCATGCAGCCACTGGAACCAATTGCAGAAGCTGGGAGATAGTTAGATCTTCAGAAAAGTCCCAGAAGTTCTTCTTGAGTATAACTGTGGAAACACCTCTCCTCATGACCTGGTGACAAATTAGTAGAAAGCAATATAATTATGTGTAGTAACTTTGAGTAGATACTAAAATGTTGTGCAAAGCCTAGGGATTCAAATAATGGGGTTCTGACTCTTTCCTCAATGAAAGTGATGTAAGCAGAGGCACTAAACAAACCCCAGTGTCCAGAACAACTTACTGTGCGGTGGAAATCAGTGGGGATGGGTTAGCATCATTCATGGTTAGGGGAGGTTTTATTACATGGAAATAAACAAATATTCTTTAACCATGTTCCAAAATAAATCCTGGATAAAGAGTTCAGTAATACATTGAGCCATAGGACAATGAGAAGAAATCAGAGAGAAGATAAATTGGTCTCTTGTTGGTACAGGGTATCTTTTTAATTTTTTATTTTAACATTTATCATTTTTAAAATTTTTTTAGACAATATTTGCTTCCTCCCACCCCCTCAGATTGAGTCCCCATAGAATTTCCTTCCCCAAGGCACCCGTGCACCATCACCTCAGTCCCCTGTGCTTCTCCCTCCCTCCCTCTCATCCCTCTCCCTCCTCCTCCCCTGCAGGATGTCTCTGGTTTATAATTGTCTGTTTTTGCTTTGTTGTGATTTGTACTGTTATTATTTTTTTACACTGATGTCTTATTTGGTTCCCCTAATAATAAAACCAGTAAAAAGATTTCAATGGCAAGGACTTAAATATTTCACTGCATACAACCATAAAATATCTTATTTATGAAGTGAAAACCACAAATAACAGCTAAATGCAAGTGACAAACAGGGAAATTATTTGCAGAAAATGCTGTCAAGATGTAATAATTATATAAAATAAGTTATTTAAAAAAAAGAAAATGCTGTCAAGAACCAGTAGAAAATGAATGACGTTAAGCCTATCAAGATGAAAAGAAATACACAGTAAACCAACGAGACCATTTTCCCAAGTCTCACTGACAGAGATTGCTTTTTTAATGCAACTCCATTTGTGAATGAGGACGCAGGACACACTACCACAGTCCTAGAGGGGAACAGGCATCACTGATCGTAGGATCATCCTGAAAATGCTGTTTTTGTCAAATCAATTTGTGACCTTATCTTACTATGCATTTTTAAAGCAATTTTCTGTTTGATTTTCTAAGATTAAAATCATCAATTTCCTGTCATTTTCAGTCCCTGACAGCTGTTTTGGGAAACACTGAATTCATCAAGAACGGGATTTGCAGTCTCATACAGTGTTTTCCATTGTAACACTGCCCATTTCATTAGTGGAGGCTGCGCGTGGCTGTTCCAGCAATCCTGGCAGCATTGCATGGCCTGGGCATCCTGCTGCTGGCCGCTGGCGAGGACCCAGTGCGTCCGTCTCTTTGGCAGCATGTGGCAACCAGTGCCCAGAAATTCCTTGCTTATCCTTTCTCTTCTGGCAGTTCAGTCCCATCTTTTGTTAGTTTGGGCCCAGGGGACATCCAGGCAGATTCTGAGGACGTTATTCCACATGTCATCCTTTCCTTCAGCAGGGCAACAAAGGCCGCTGGTACCCACACTGGGTTTATTTTCTTTTGTTGAATTTCAGTCATGTTTATTGCTCCAGTGAGTAAAACCATCTTGATATAAACCAAAGAATAAATTGAAATGTTAATGTGGGTCTGGGAAAAAATTCAGACTCTGAAATCTGGGAAATTATTATATTGCTTTACTAATTTGCCTTTCAACAAAAGATGGTCTAATATCAAATTCAAAAAATTAACATTTTTATGACAAATAAAACAGAGCTCCTAAATTCTCTAGTCTGTTCATGTTTCTGAGATTGAAATCTGTCCTCTTTGTTAGAGGCTTACATGGGTCTGGGACGGGCCATTCTGCCAGCTGAAGCTTTAGAATGCCTTGCCCTGATCCACCCAAGATCCCCAGTGGGACTCCCCTCTTTTGGAGAGTTCAGATTGACCACCTTGTAGAATAGGATGAGGCTGATCGGCAGATGAGTAAAGAGCCAAAGCATGACTGTGGAGCTGGCTTAGAGCAGTCTGGGAGTGTCCCAGGCAGCCAGGGGAGAGGGATTCCCCTTCTGACAGGAATGGGGGGTGCAGTTGGTGTTTGCTTTTGTTTTTATATTTCCTGCTAGTTTTTATTATTTATTTGTTTGTTTTAAGATCTATTTATTATACAAGCACTGGGTACAGTCAGAAGCACGGGAGGGCAAGAGAATTCACCAGAGCCAGAGCGGGGAACAGAACAGGCAGACTGATGAAATACACTGCTGAGGGGAGCAGCAGGCGCAGCAGGAGAGGTCTGTGCACCATGTGGGACCCTCGCCGGCGGCCAGGGATGGAACCAGCGCTTCAGAGGCTGCAGGCAGCTTCGCAGCCCAGCATTCAACTTCTGTGCCACCAGGGGAGGCCCTGCTAGTTTTTTAAATAATCATACAATAAAATTACTTCTTTCTTTTGATAAGCAGCTATCTGAGTTTAAACACGTATGTAATTATGGATGACCTTCACAATTAGGATATGGACTGGTTCTCTCTCCCAAAACTCTCTTTTGTATTATCCTTTTATAGTTACATCCCAATCCCCCTTTCATCCTTCTAGCAACCACTGACTTATTCTCTAGCACAGTTCTGTCATTTCAGAAATGTCTAAAGGAATCATATAGGATGTTACCCTTTGAGGCTGGTTTCTTTTGCTCTGTCTTCGAGATCCATCTGTGTTGCTGTGTGCGTCTTAATTTGATCCTTTGTCCTGCTGTATAATATTCCAGCCTGTGGCTCCAACATGATTTGTTTTTTTGTCCCCCTCTGAAGGAGATGTGGGTATTTATAGTTTTGGGCACTCACAAATAAGGTTGCCATGGACATTTGTGTACAGATTTTGCCGCAAGAAAGATTTGCTGGAATCAGCGAAACACCCAAAATGAGGAAAATAAAATGTCCATTAGGGCAGAAATTTCTCCCTCTGAGAGAGGCTATAAAGATTTACTTATTGCAGCACTTAAAGGACAAGGTTTGAGAGGAAGCAAGTAGGGGCACACAGGTTACCAGGTGTCAGGTGCTTCCAACCCCTTCAGCATGTGAGAGTAAAGGTGGCAAGTAACATCACCTCTACAGAATTTTGCAGTCGCTGCCACTTTGCAGAAGGAGGCAACTTAGCAATGCAGCATCAGGGTAGAAATGGGAGGACAGGGCCTGGGGACAGGTGGGTGCCTGGCAAGATTTGCAGAGCATGTGAGGCAATCAGCTGAAATAGATGAATGTGTATACCCCCCTCCCCTGGCAGGCCGAGAAGCTGGATTTGTGGCGGAAGGCCATCTCCCCTGCAGTCACACAGGAAAGGTGATGGCATGCAGACCTGGCTCATGTCCAGGTTCTCACAGTGGAAATGGCAAATGACCTCTTCATACCTTCCATTCTGGGCTTATTACTGAGCAAGGGCTCCCCGAGTCTGTTGTGTTGTGTAGACCTAATTGTTTAATGATTTTGTGGTAATCCCCCTGCCCATCCTGGTGGGGCTGCTAAGGCAGTGGGGATTAGGTCCAAGAATTTAACCCCCTGGAAACTTCTAAGAGAAAGAACCTCAGCTGCATCTCAGCAGGGAGAAACAGGAAGAAGAAGGGAGGGGAACGGAGAAGTGAGGAGCCTGCCTGAGGCCTTGCCGTGCCTCTTCCACTGTGGTGTGGAAATTTTTAGTTCTAACACTAAATGCCAACTTGCCTGCATTCCTCAAATTGTGCATCTGGCAGAGTCAGCAGTTTGCTAGGGCACCTGCAGTTCTCAGCCCTGCCCAAGCCGGGTGTCACCATTTCTTCTCTCTTCATCTTTTAACAAGTTTAGTGTTTTCACTAAACCCAGAGGTGACGTGGTCTTGATGATGGGGTTCTTTGCGCACACACTTTTCCTGTCAGTGTTGGGTGCCAGGGGACAGTTGAGGGGGTGGTTGTCACCTTCGTGCCCACACCCGCTGTCACACTTGGCCCATCAGTGTGAGCATCTATCTGTGACTGCGTTAATGGATTCCCAGCCTTATGCTATGTCACCTTCCTGGGGCCCTGATGAAATAAAGTCCAACACCCCAATTATTTTCCTTTGTTCTCATCTCAAAAGCAGTGAGTTGTGTCCTCTTCACTCAGCTTAGAGAGGAAAAAAGCTATTGTTTGGGTTATGAATAGAGACATTCTTTCCAATTTTAATAGCCCCAAAATAGAAGTCTCAGAGAAGTTGGGGCTGGGAGAAGATCTTTATGAAAGTTTTGGCCTTTTTTCTTCCAGGCAAGTCACCATATTTAGAATCATTTTGAAATATGTCTGGGGTTCTTAGAATTGCAAAAGGAGAAAATTGAAAAGGGAGTAAAACCTGTGTCTGGAATTCAAGGCCAGGGTGATGTGTGTAGAAGGCTTGGGGATGTGAGGACAGGAGACAGGACAGTGGCTCTGAGCAGGCTTTGTATCAGGTGTTCAGTCACTTCCAGTTCCCTCAGGCCAATCTCTAACCTTCCTGCTTGTCCTCATTATAAGATAGGTGATTTGTTGTAAATCACCTCAAGGGTCTATCCAGTTTAGAGTAGAGGCCTGATCTGCGCAGCCATCCTTATTGTCAGGGAGGCAGAAGTTAGCCTTTTCTTTCTTGGGTTCTCGTCTTGTCTCTTGGTTGCTGCTTTGAAATTTCTTGCATTTCCCTAAATTTCATACGCTTGGGGGAAGGCCTTGAGAATTGAAAGAAAAGAGAGTCATTAAATTACTATGGCTTCCACTGTTGGAAGGGTGATCTTAACAGAAGTTTCTAACCACTACCTGGGTTAGTTTTCTATTACCATGTCACAAATTACCTCAAATTTACAGATTTCTCAAGTCGTAGATTCTATGGGGCAGGATCCAGTCACCCAGGCCCTGCCTGGCTGTGACCTCTGCTCAGGGGCTCTCCACCAGGGTTGAGGTCTGGGTATAAGTGCCCTATAACCCAAGGGAAGCCTTGAGTATAGACAGGACAGACCCATGACTGGGTCAGGTTATACGTCAAAAGTGAGGTGATTTCAACAGATGTCATTTAAGACCTCAAATCACTTGATTTTGAGCTAATCAAAGGGGAGATTCGCCTGGGTGGGCCTAGACCCAGAGGTCTCCTCTGAGCTGGGGTCCCCTTCCAAGCTTTTGTGCTGGTCAGCAAAGCTCATTGACTAGTGGCTGCTAGACACATGCTGGATTGCTGCTGCTTTGGGGGCCAGCAGGGCAACCCCTCAGCTAGTCTCTGAGCTCACGGAAACCTAAGCCCTCTTTGAAAGGGTTTACCTGATTAGGCCCACCCTGGTGAATCTCCCCTTTGATTAACTCAAAATCAATTGATTTGAGGTCTTAAATGACATCTGTAGATGTATAACCTGACCTAGTCGTGGGTCTGTCCTGTCTATACTCAAGGGAAGGGATTATAGGGCCATTATACCCAGTGTGCTTTCCACACTAAAGAAGCATTGTCTCTGGCCTCTCTGGTGGCACAAGGGGTTAAGACGCAACCTATGAAGCTTACTGCAGCCACTGCACCACAAGTTCGATCCCCAGCCAGGGAACAACCCACATGGCGTAGTAGACCTCTCCTCTGTGTTGCCCTCTGCTCCCCTCAGCAGTGTATTTCAATCTGCCTCATCTGTTCCCCACTCTGTCTCTGGTGAATCCTCTCACCCCTCACACCTCTGGCCTGTACCCCCATTCTTGTATGCATAAATAATTATATCTTTAAAATAAAAAAAGAAGCATTGTCTCAAATGAAAGTGTCAGCTGACTTTGTTAAATCTTGTTACCTTCATGGCCACAGTCTCCCATGTAAAAAGTGCCTTAAGAACCTTGAGGATCTTAACACCCTAAGACATATCTGAGTCCTTTTGGTTTTTTTCCTCCAGACATTGTCAGGATTGCCAGACCAGGACACCTTCTACGACGTGGTGGACTGCCTGGAGGAGCTGGGCATCGCAGCCGTGTCCCAGAGGCACTTGAACAAGAGAGGGACTGACCTGGATTTAGTGGAGCAGTTGAACATTTATGAGGTAACAGCAACCTGTTGGAAGGCATTGTGCTGCTTCAGTGAATGTCAGGGGTGGTGGCCAACCATACTGTAGACCAGTGGCTCTGAGTGTGGGGTAGTGGCCTCTGCATCTCTCTGAGCTTGTTTGAAATGCAAATTCTCAGACCTTACCCCAGACCTACTAAGTCAGAACCTGGGTGGACCCAGCAATCTTGTGACTTAAGCTTCTAGATGATTCTGATGCACTGCCTGATCTGTATAAAACTTGGTGGCTACTTTATTTACTACTTACTTTGAAGAACATACAGTTTTCAGCAGCACTTTCATTTAAGGTAAGAAGGAGGGAGAGACAGACAGAGATGGCTTTTTGCATATTCTTATACCTGACGGGGTAGGATGTCTGCCATACATTGTCTGGAGGGCCCAGTGCAAAATGGAAAAGCAGGGGGAAAAGTGCTATTAAAGAGGCTAAACAACTTTTTAATTTCTTCTATAGTCTCTCTCATCTCGTTATGGTGTTTTTTTATTATTCAATATCAATGCAAGGGAAAGAAAATAAAAATTGAAAAGTTTTCACATGAATTTTGCTGTTTAGATTGTGGAGCCAGTTAAAATACCAATATAAGAACATTTTAACTTTTATGCAATTTGTAGTCTGTAGTCCTTCCATGCATGTATATGTTGTTCTTGAACAGTGAAAGCACAGTAAAAAATCAACTATTTTACTTCTTGATAGATGTGCCATATATCAGTTTTCTACCTTCAACCTACTGATAAGCTAAGGAAGGGCTAAAAGGAAAAAGAACTATGGCTGCCCCATCTTTTGATTTGTTTTCTATGTGGTTGTTCAGCGTAAGTGGCTGACTAATGCAGGAAAGTAACACAGGTGAGAAAGGATGATAGATCTAGTAGTTTGCCATCTCCCTGTATTCAAAGCAAGATCTGGTTTGCACAAAAGATGTCAACTCCTAAGCTCTCAGTGCCCCTGCTGACTTGGTAAGAGGGTAACGTGCTGACCTTGATCCACCCCAAGCCTACTGGACTCCCACACATGCTCATAGGTGGCAAAGAATGTAGACATGCACATTGTACCTGCTTCCTCTACTCATGTGTGTTGCATTAGACGTCCCTTTACAAAATACAAGTTTAAAGATAAAAATAATAAGAATTTCAAGATGGTCACAGCCGGTGACAGCATTAACCATGGACCTTGCCAAAGGCACAGCACACTCCGTACAAGTGCACAGGTCACACATCCATGAAGCTGGGCCTGCTTTGAGGTCCACATCATGGCTTTATGGTATATTGACTTGAGTTCAGATGTGCCCTTTGGGTTTATTTTAGGTTCATATACCTCCATTTTATTAATTATCTTGGGTGACTGTGGCCTGGACTCTAGATGAATTTTTTTTTAAATGTCTTATAAAGAACAGAGTTCTTCTTCTTCTTTTTTAAAGATTTATTTATTTATACAAGCACTGGGTATAGTCAGAAGCAAGGGAAGGTGAGAGAATTCACCAGAGCCAGAGTAGGGAGCAGAACAGGCAGAAGGACGAAGTACACTGCTGAGGGGAGCAGTGGGCGGCAGGAGTGGTCTGCGCGCCATGTGGGACCCTCGCCCAGTGGCCAGGGATGGAACCGGCTCTACAGAGGCTGCAGGCAGCTTTGCAACCCAGCGCTCAACCGCTGTGCCACCAGGGAGGCCTCTAGATGAATATTAAAGCACATTCACATCATCTAGGTTTTCCCATGGTCAATGGGGGTTAGAATACGGAAACATGTTTCCTCTTAGATGGTGTGACCTCAACAGGAAAGCTTGTTCCTTTAGTCCCAAGTGTGCTCAAAATAAGAGTGAACCAGGCCATGAGGACTTTTTAACAGTAGTATCCTGAAAAAGTATCATTGAAAGAGTTTGGGGGGTCCTCATAACCCTCCGATTTTTGTTTCAAGTTTTTTCCTCCAGATATTCACATACCACAAAATTAACCATTTTATTTCATTTTAATCAACCACTTTACATTGCAATACAATAGCTTTTAGCATATTACAATATTGTATAACCATCATCACTCTCATATTCCAGAATAATTTCATCCCTCCAAAAGAAGTCCCCTATCCAGTCCTCCCTATCTCTCATATCTTATGCCCCCAACAACTAATCTGTTCTCTCTCTGAAAGAATTTGTCCATTCTAGACACCACATACAAATTGAGCCACACGACATGTGGTCTTTTTTTGGCATTTAATTGACATACAGTATTATTTTAGTTTCATGGGTACAACATAATGATTCCACATTTGTATACATTACCAAATGATCATCACAATAAGTCTACTTAACCATATTTTCTTAGCAACTTCCAAATTTGCAAGACCATGTTACTGTTACTGATATACTCCCCATGCATGTGTTACAACATGTGTTCTTTGTGACCAGCTTTCACTTAGCATATTTTCAAGATTCATTCATGATGCAGTGTGTATCACTGCTTTGTTCCTATTCGTGTCTACCAAAATTCATTTGTTAGAGATGTCACATTTTGTTTATCTGTTCATCAGTTGATGGACATTTGGATTATTTCCATCTTTCAGCTACTATGAACAATGCAGCTATAAATATATGTGTTCAAGTTCCTATGTGGATGTGTATTTTCAGTTGTCTTCAAGTATAAACCCAGGAGTGAGATTGCTGGGCCTATGCAATTCTTTGTTTGGCCATTTGAGGAATTGTCAGACTATTTTCCAAAGTGGCTACACCATTTGACACTCCCACCACCAGTGTGGTGAATTTCAAATTCTCCACATCCTCCTCAATGTTTGTTATTGTTCATCTTTTAAAATTATAGCCTTCCTGTGGGTGTGAAGTGCTACACTTTTCGGTTTTGATTTGCATTTCCGTGGTGACTAATGATGTTGAGTAGCTCTCCAGGCGCCTGTTGGCCATTTGAATAAATTTTGTGGAGAAATGTCTATTTAGATCCTTTGTCCATTTTTCAATTGGGCTGCTTTGTTACTATTGAGTTGGAAAAATTCTTTATGTACTTGAATACAAAATCCTTGTCAGATACAGGTTTTGATACATATTTTCCCATTCTGAGTTGTACTATTCTACTTTTTAAATTTTTTAAAAAAAATTTTTGTTACATCATTGTTCATTTTTAAACAATATTTGCTTCTCCCTTCCCAAGTGTATTCCCCATAGAATTTCCTTCACTGATGCACCCGTGCACCATCACCTCAGTCCCCTGTGCTCCTTCCCTCCCTCTAACTCTTCTCCCTCCTCCTCCCCAGCAGGATGTCTCTGATTTATAATTGTCTGTTTTTTGTTTTGTTGTGTTTTGTATTGTTATTTTTTTAAACTGGTGTCTTACTTGGTTCTCCTATATTCCTGCTATAATAGAAATCATCCCAATATTTTTCTTTTTCCTTCTGACTTACTTCACTAAGCATAATTCCTTCTAGCGCCATCTATATTGCCTCGAATGGCATGAGTTTATCTTTTTTTTTTTTTTTAAAGATTTATTTATTCATTTACACAAGCACTGGGTACAGTCAGAAGTGTGGGAGGGTGAGAGAATTCACCAGAGTGGGGAACAGAACAGGCAGACTGATGAAATACACTGCTTAGGGGAGCAGCAGGTGCGGCAGGAGAGGTCTGTGTGCTATGTGGGACCCTTGCCAGTGGCCAGGGATCGAACTGGCTCTGCAGAGGCTGCGGGCAGCCTCGCAGCATAGTGCTCAACTGCTGCACCACCAGGGGAGGCCCAAGTTTATCTTTTTTGATTGCTGAATAGTTTTCCATTGTGTATATATACCACATCTTCTTGATCCAGTCATCAGTCTTATTCATAGTGATATATATTTTTACATCTTACCTCCTTATAAAAATAATATATAAACATTGAAGAGTATTTGGGAAATGCCAAAAAGTATGAGGGAAAAAACTCACCCATAATATTTTTCTTAACTTTTTCATCTACCTAAGTGTAAACCATAAAGATAATAGCCTGTGTACAATATCATAGTCTAAGTTTTTATTAGTGGACATGTCCGAACCATTTCTTGTGTCATTATATCTTCAAGAACTTAATTTTATTAGGAATATAATGTTCTGTATGCATGGACATTATTGTATATAACTTGTCCCGATTTTTTCAGATGTGGATTATTTCCAAGGTATTTTTCACTTATAAATCCTTTTACTTATCAACGAGCAGCTTCATTCACAAGTCTTTGTGCACAGCTTAAGTCCTCGTGGGGATAAATGGCTCCTTTGCTCTCTTCACTGGGGAGAAGTGGAGGGACTGACATGTAACTCACTTTTTCTTACAAGTACTGTCATCACAAATGACAAGTGGAGGAACAGAACAGACTTATATTTATATTATCTTAGGAGAAATCAGAGCTACTTGACAGTATTTGCTGTCAGAGTGGGATGTCCCTGCCGCCACCCAGCTCTGTGTCACCTGGCTCTGGGCATCTCTTCTGGCTGCTCCTCACTTGACAAAAGAACCAATTACCTGCGCAGACTTGTGTTCCATTAGCATTGGGAAGCCAGAGAGTGATGGAGACGTATGGTCTGCTAAAAGATAGCACAAAGTAAGAATATAAAGACAGTGAAGGAAGAGACTAAGGACAGGTAGAGGTAGAAGGTGAACTTTTCCTAGTACTGATCATTCCCCTCCCTACCTCCATTTCCCACCAGAAATCCTATCCTTGAGGCTTTGTTCAACTGGGGACTTATCTGACAACAGCTTTGATTCTGTGTTGTCTGTATATTGGCAGACAGCTTGATGCTTGTCAATTTCCCATTAGTGAACCAGTTAGGAGAGTTTTTTGGGTTTTTTTTTTTTTTTTGACTTTTTTAAAAACACATTTTCTTTTTTATTAAGATTTATTTATATAAGAACTGGGGTACAGGTCAGAGCCACGGGAGGGTAAGAGGATTCACCAGAGACAGAGCAGGGAGCAGAACTGGCAGTCGGATCAAAGACAGTGCTGAAGGGAGCAGCAGGCAAGGCA